AAAAAAAAAAAAAAAAAAAAAAAGATATGCAATCATACACATATCAGTTGTCCAAACTAGAAAGCCATGAGGTATACTTTAACATTCTGGAGTATACTGTAATTATTACTTAATGGTTTAGGTATGTACCTAAATCCCTAGTCCAGGGATCAGCAAAATATTTTGTAAAGGGCCAGATAAATATTTTAGGTTTTGCAGGCCACATGTGGTCTATTGCATGTTCTTCTTTGTTTTATTACAATTATTGAAAAACGTAAGAAACATCTGGGGAAGTGGCTCACTCCTGAAATCCCAGCACTATGGGAGACAGAGGTAAGAGGACTGCTTAAGACCAGGAGTTCAAGACCAGCCTGAGCAATACAGCAAGACTCTCTTTCTACAAAAAAAAAAATTAAAAAATTAGCTGGGCATGGTGGTACATGTCTATAGTCCTAGCTACTCAGGAGGCAGAGGTGGGAGAAATGCTTGAGCCCAGGAGTTTAAGACTGCACTGAGCTATGATCACACCACTGCACTCCAGCCTGAACAGAGTAAGATCCTGTCTCTTAAAAAAAAAAAAAAAAAAAGATATATATGGAACATTTTTAGTTCACAGCAAGCCAAGGGGCCAGAGGTAGACTCTGAGTCATAGTTTGCCAAATCCTGCTTTAGCCTAATGAATAATCAAAATTGTTTTGTTTTCTGAGACGGAGTTTCACTCTTGTTACCCAGGCTGGCGTGCAATGGCGCAATCTCGGCTCACTGAAACCTCCGCCTCCTGGGTTCAAGCAATTCTCCTGCCTCAGCCTCCCAAGTAGCTGGGACTACAGGCATGCGCCACCATGCCCAACTAATTTTTGTATTTTTAGTAGAGACGTGGTTTCACCATGTTGACCAGGATGGTCTCGATCTCTTGACCTCGTGATCCACCCGCCTCAGCCTCCCAAAGTGCTGGGATTGCAGGCGTGAGCCACTGCGCCCGGCCAATAATCAAAATTATTAGAAAAATATTATGACTTTGTTTTCACATTATTTATAAAAACCAAAAAGCAGCCTATATACTCAACAATAGTAGACTAATAAAGCAAACAGTATAAATAGTGGCATGTCCATATGATGCAATTTTAGCTATTAAAATAACATTCATAAATGACTTTTAACGACAGGTGAAATTGCTTGTTATATTAAGTGAAAAAACTGAATATGAAACTGGAAGAACAGCAGGATCTCAACCATGAAAAAATGCACATGAAAGTGATCCAAGGACTTTTAGTTAAAGGAGGCAGATTGAACACATACATTTAACTCAATCCCCACTCTCCCGCCCATAAAGACAAAGAAAATGAGAAGAACACAGAACACACTCTGAAAGCTGGAAAACAAAGGGACAAGTAACAGATGTATTAGGCTTAAGAAAACTAAATTCTAAACCAGCAGAGGGAAACCCCAAAAGCTACCAAGCTGTACTTTAGAAACTACCAAGTACTCAGGACTCAGGAACTGATGGCACCAGGTACCTCTTGGGGCAGGGGATGAAGGTGGGTTGAAAATCTACTTAAGAAGCAGTCAGATTCCCATGTTCCTTACCCCTCTCCTGCACCAGTGACCTACTCCTCACTCCTCCCCTATTCCTCCAGGTGGAAGACTAGAGGTTTGCCCTAGTAGACAATAAAACAGTGGCTGTCTGGTGATTCCCTAAAAGAAATACTAAATATTGAGCCCTTAGTCCTCTTTTCCTACTTGGTTCCCAAAGTACCATCAGCCAGGATTTCCAAAAAGAGAAAAAAAGAGTAAAAAAGAAAAGAAACAGATCAAAGAATTCAAGACAATTTCCTAGAAACATGAGTTTCCAGACTGAAAATGTCCACTGAGTACCCAACACAAGGCACAATAGTATGAAATTTCAGCACAGCAGTCCCGCAGTCCTAGGTCCTCTCTAAACTCTGTGATAACAAACAGGTGTCTAGGCTGGATGCAGTGACTCATGCCTGTAATACCAGCACTTTGGAAGACTGAGGCAAGTGGATTGCTTGAGCTCCGGAGTTCGAGGCCAGCCTGGGCAACACAGCGAGACTCTGTCTCAATTTAAAAAATAAATTATTAAAAAAACAAAAAACACAGGTCTAACATAACCAAGACTACTCACCAGCAATATACTTAAATAATAATCATTTCCCAAATTTACAACTACAGAACCCTGCATCATGTTAGTATTACCTGAAGAGGGGATTTAAAATTTGAGAAACCCAGGGTGAATTTCTCTTTTTGCAGGTTATCATAGTGTCTTTAACATGTTAATGTATACTGCAAATCTCTAAGAAGGAGCATTTTCTAAACCTCCTTGTCCTCCTGGATGGAGTGGCTCATGCCTGAAATCCCAATACTTTGGAAAGCTGAGGCAGATGGATCACTTGAGCCTGCGTTCTAGACCAGCCCGGGCAACATGGCAAAACCCTGTCTCTACAAAAAAATGTAATAAAGTAAAAAATATGAATAAATAAATACAAGAGTTTAAATTCCTCATCCAAGCAACTTTTTAGAAACAGGGTCTCACTGTCCGGTGGAGTGATTATGGCTCCCTGCAGCCTTGAGCGATCCTCCTGCCTCAGCCTCCTGAGTTAACTAGGCACCACCATGCCTAGCTAACTTTTTTGCAGAGACAGGGTCTCACTATGTTGCCCAGGTTGGTCTCGAACTCCTGGCCTCAGCCTCCCAAAGTGCTGGGATTACAGGTGTCAGCCACTGCACTCAACCAAAAAATATTTTTACCTCACAGGTCCCATAGAACGCTCTGAGATATTCTCCCTTAGGTTAAAACAGCTTCTCTCACCTAAAGATCTCTACCGCCTCAATCCTGCTAGCATCCTTGAGAAGAAGATAAAAGGCCAGAAAAACACATTTTTTGAGAGCAAAGTCCTTGGGCTCAAAAATCTCAGAACATACTGACTCATACTTCAAAACACCTTACTAGAATGACCAAGTCACTTTTTGGATTCAGATAGTAAGAATTATACAATCCATCCTGTTTCTCTTTTCATGACAACTTGGAAGAACAGAGTTCAAGCAGAGTAAATTATCCTTAGTCTAGGTTTCTGTAAACAGCCCCTCATCCTCTGATGCTCTCAAACCTCCACTAACCATCATAATGGCTTTTATCATAAGTTTATTCTTCAGAAAGCACTTAATAATGAAATTAATTACCCAGATAGTATTGTGCTGCTGCCCGGTTGGTATAAAGGACAGCATTCAAATCAGGATCTGCACATTTCTTCTTTAATCCTTCAGTGTAGGAAATCACAGCTTTCTTGTAGTCTTTTTCTTTAAAGTAATCATTGCCCTCATCTTTATAGGTCTTGGCCTGTTCTACAAAGAAGAGGAAAAATAATCACTATTCCACACTTTTAAAAAGCCTCCTTTTCCACACTTTTTAAAAGGCTCATTAAAAATAGATTCTAAATCATGCAGTAATGTACTATATGATACACCAAAGTGAAGAAACCAATAGGGAAAGGAAATTCAATGTTATGATAAAAATGGGTATCAACATGGACAAAGTCACACAAATTTGATGCTAATTCCAAATATCTTAAAAGGTAGATTACTAAGAGTTTTCTCAAAAAAAGACGTATAAAGGAAAAATGTATACTCATCCTAGCTATTGAAAAAAAGAATTTTTTTTAATCACTGAAGAAATCAGATGAGGGGCAGGGGGATTGATTATACTTCTGCTTTTGCTTATGCTGTTTATTCTGTGGGGTGCAAATTCCCCTCCTCACCCTAGTAAAAGCCTACAAAATTACAAAGAGTCAGCTCAAATTTCCTATCTGCCGTGAATCCACTCCTGCCCCTTAAAGTCTTCCAACAGGACCCATTACAGCTGTAGTATAACACTTACATGTTGACATTTATAGCACAAGTTTGTCTTGATTCTTTAAGACAATGGGCTTCTCACTGATCCTGACCTTGGAGGGTGGAACTGTGTCTTATTCATCCCTGTATCCCCAATCCCTACCACTTAGTAGGTATACAAAGAAGTCTGTTGGAATGAATAGTAACAAGTTAGATCAGGCTAACTACTTGTTAATCAGTCAGAACCCTTCTAACTCACACTTTATTTCTACAAAACAAATATTAGTCATGTTAAGATACCTTCTAGAGAACGATCTTCATCAAAAATAATTGACTGGAGACAAGCCAAGTCAGGATTCTCCCTGGGGTCAATTTCTGATGGTGCTTTCTTCATAAATAGGGGGACCTTTTCAAATTCCTGGAAATGGTTAAGAATGAACTACATGAAAAAGCTTTTCTACTGAACAGATCCAATTCCATGACTCAAAGTTTTTTCACTCATCATGATTTTCAAATCATCACAGTTAGCTGTATCCATTCAGGCCTCTCCTTCCCTTCTGTAAAATGGGAGTGGGGTGTAATGATCTCCAATGATTGTTTTAGTTCTCACATTCTACAAGAGCGGCAGGAATTACCATTAATTAAGCGCCCTAAAGTTCTTGGCACTTTACCAACTGTGTCTCGTTTGATCTTTGCTATTGGTGCTATAGTTCGGGCAATTTTACAGATGAGGAAACAGGCTCAGAGAAGTAAAGTAACTGATCCATATCAGAGCCAGTAAGTGTGGTTCTTAAACGTACTGACAGCTTAAGAAGCAACTCAAAACCTTGAGGCCGATTTTCAATACTCAACTAGAAACCAGCCATCCGCTGGCAGCGCGAGGGATCTGGGATTGAGAGAGGCGCCCCCAAGCCCGGGTGCCCCACGAGTCCTGACGACGGCACTACACACGTGCGGAGACCCCAGGACCGCCCACCTCCTCCCACTGGTCCTCATGAAAGCCGCCACGGTAAGGCTGGCTCTGAAACTTGTCCAGGAACGAGTCCATGACGTCGTCTGAGGTCGGGTCCTGCTCAGGTTGCTCCATAGCTGATCCCCTGCCCTCCAGCCCGGGTCCCTGAGCCGTGAAGCGACGAGCTCCTTCCGGCGGCGCAGGTGCCCTTGCCTCAATCCTCCGGGCGGCGCAAGCCCGCGCGCCTTGGGTTCCGCCGGCCTGGGGGCGTGGCCGGGCGTGGCCGAGACCGGTACGCTCCTCCCCCGGTCCGCCGCCTCGGCGGTGCCTGGCCTAGCCCGGCCCGAATGCTTTTGGGGTAAGCCCCAATGATTGCTTAAGCTCGAATCCCCGTAGCTCCCGTCTCACTTCATTCATTTGTTCGTCAGTCAGTCCACACATACTTAGCTCTTTCCGCGCTTCCGGCCTTTTCTAGAGGCTGGCTATGCAATGGCGGGTAGAGCAGATGAAATCCCTTGCCCTCTAGGAATTGCTAAGGCAGCGGGGAGGAAAGGACAATACATAGACGAGATGTAAGAGTGTGTCAGGAGTAGCAAGAGCTATTGGGGAAAAGTTTTAAACAAGGCAGGCAGACATTCTGCCAGAAGCCTGGAAATGACCAGGAGGGGTCTGGGAAGGGCATTCCCATGGAAGGAACGGAGAATAGGCCGGAACCCTGATTCAGGAGGGTCTTCTGTGCTTGGGGAACAGCAAGGTGGCCAGTGGGGCCGACGCAGAGTGAGGAAGGGGAGGAGGAGATGATGAGGTGGGAGGATGAAAGGGCTGTGCTGCCGGGCGCGGTGGCTCAAGCCTGTAATCCCAGCACTTTGGGAGGCCGAGGCGGGTGGATCACGAGGTCAAGAGATCGAGACCATCCTGGTCAACATGGTGAAACCCCGTCTCTACTAAAAATACAAAAAATTAGCTGGGCATAGTGGTGCGTGCCTGTAATCCCAGCTACTCAGGAGGCTGAGGCAGGAGAACTGCCTGAACCCGGGAGGCGGAGGTTGCGGTGAGCCGAGATCGCGCCATTGCACTACAGCCTGGGTAACATGAGTGAAACTCCGTCTCAAAAAAAAAAAAAGGGCTGTGCTATGAGGATTTGGCCATTTCCTAAGAGTGGGATGCGACCTTTTGGAGAGTTTTGAGGAAAGGAGAGACTGATCAGACCTCTGTCTCTGAACTTAGCACGCCTAACCCCCACAGCTTAGATGGAAACAGGGTCTCCAGTCCAGGTGCTGCAGGCCTGGCGAGGGAGCCGCTGTGGCTTCCCGCGGCCCCTACTGGCCAGCAAATGGCTGCAGATCCCTGCAACGCGCCTACAGCCTTGGGGAGCTCCTAGCTTGGTCTGGAAGGAAAAGCAGACAGGAAGCACACCAATCTCACTGGCATTGGGTCACAGGTCTACTCAGTGAAGGCACAGAGGGGTGGGATTCAAGGGGATGCAGAGCTGAGATCACAGCTGAGGAAGGTCTCTGCAGATGGATAGAGGACTGGGCATTTTAGGCAGTGGGAGCTCATATGTGGAGAGAGGCATGGAGGTGTGCACCTGCCCACTATGCTACCTACTACAGCAAGTGTTCCAGAGGTGTGGCCAGTAGGTGGGTAGGGGCCAGAAGGCCTGCCTGCCCTACTAGCCTTGGTCCTGCAGGATGGTGAGCCACTGAACAGACCTAAGAGGAGCAAGGGCTGCGAGCACATTTGTCTTAGGAAGGCCTGGGCTGCCAGGTGAGGCATTGATGGGGTGAGGTTGGTTAAGAGATTGACAAGGAGGATGCTGGTAAGAGACCAAGGGAAAGGAGAGATCTGAAGTCCAGCAGTGGAGCTGGCAGAGTGGTCGTTCTTTGATATGGGCATAGAGACAGCAGGGCTAAGGATGATGCCTGGGGACCATGAGCCTTCCAGTGCTGGGACTTTCTTTTTTCCCTTCTGAGTCTCCCGCACCCAGCAGAACACCTGGTCCTAGCGCTCTCTTTTCTCCAGATTCAAACCTCCTTTTCCACACTTCCTCCTCCAGCCCTGCTCCCTAACCCCCTCTTCATCATCTTTTCCTTTACTGAGTGCAGAGCCTACAAAGTCTTTTTGATTTCTTTTTTTTTTTCCCCGTTTGATTTCTGTAAGAACATGAGGTACGAGCCCATTTTATAGGTAACAATAGGGGAAGCTAACAAAAAGGAAGTGACTTGCCCAGCACTTTCTGAACCTTCCTACTCAAAACTACTTAGGGGCCTTGGCCAATAACTGAGCCGATCAGCCTCTGCTGATCATAAACAGCAAACATTTATTTCTCACAGTTATGGATGCTGGGAAGTCCAGGATCAAGGCCTGGCAGATTCAGTGTCTGGCGAGGGCCTGTTTCCTGGTTCACAGACGCCATCTTTTCACAGCGTCTTCCCGTGGTGCAAGCGCTCTGAAGGCTCTTTTATAACGGCACTAATCCTATTCGCTAATCCCTAATCCTCTCTCAAAGGCCCCCCCACCTCCTAATTTCACCACTTTGGGAGTTCGGATTTCATATGAATTCAAGAGGACACAGTATTCAGACCACAGCAGCAGCCAGCTGCCCTGTGGATATCTCCACTAGCTTCCAGCACAGTCCCTCAAACTTACTATGCCCGGCTTGAACTCATTCCCTTCCCCCACAGCCTGCTGCTGGTGCTGGATTCACCACTCATTTTGAGGTCCATTGGCTCAGTCATCCACCCAGAAACCAGGGTGCCAAACTCAGTGCCTCCCTCTCCCTCCTCCATTCTGTCAACCACTAGGTTCTGCAGTTCCCTTCCTCAGTCTCCCGCAGGGCTGGCCACCCTCTCCATTTTGTCCTGCAGGGTCTGGCCACTGTTGTCCCAGCAGTTTCTGCTGACGGTACTCTTGTCCACCCTGCCATCCAGCCTTCTCACTCCATGACATAGCGAGCTTCTTCTGCTTCCTTTTTAATTTATTCCCTTTTATCCCCCAAAGCCCTCCTCCTTACCCTAATCAATCATTCTAGCATCTTTTATTAGCATTTTTGTTTTGTTTTATAGAGATGGGGGTCTCACTATGTTGCCCATGCTGGTCTCAAACTCCTGGCCTCAAGTGATCCTCCTGCCTCAGTCTCCCAAAATGTTGGGATTACAGGTGTGAGTCACCACACCTGGCCTCTAGTGTGTTCACTGTGTCTTCTCAGTTTCTAAGTATTCTTGCAAAATGTAAATGCTTTTGTATGTACATTTTTTTTCCTTTTTTTTTTTTTTTTTGAGATAGAGTTTGATTCTTGATGCCCAGGCAGGAGTGCAATGCAGGATCTTGGCTCACTGCGACCTCCACCTCCTGGGTTCAAGCGATTCTCCTGCCCCAGCCTCCCAAGTAGCTGGGATTACAGGCATGCGCCACCACACCCAGCTAATTTTGTATTTTTAGTAAAGACAGGGTTTCACCATGTTGGTCAGGCTGGTCTTGAACTCCTGACTCAGGTGATCCACCCACAGCAGCCTCCCAAAAGGCTGGGATTACAGGAGTGAGCCACTGCACCACGAGTGAAACTATGTATCCATGAGTGGAACTGCTCAGTCTTCATGCATGGGTATACATGAACTTAGTAAGACTGAAGTGACTGAATAATGACAGATGCCTACAGATTCCAGAAGAGCTGCACCAATCTACCATCCCATCAGCAGTGCCTGAGGGTTCCTGCATCCCCAGGAGGAGGCACCTTCTAAAACAGGCATCTGCCTACATCTGTCCCCTGCTTAGCATCCCAGAGTGCCTTCCCACTCCTCCTGGATGAAGTCTCCCTCCTTAACACAGCCTCTAAGGCTTCCTTGGCTCTAGCCTGAACTCCTTGCCCCTCTGTCTCTCGGCTCCGTGTACTACAGGTCTGTAGTTGTTCCTTGGTTCTGTGTGTCCTGCTCCCTTCCATACGTGCTCTTTCCAAACCCCCTGCAGGGGAGTTTCTTCCCTGGGAAGCCTTATCTGACACCTTAACTAACTCCCTGCTCGTCTATGTACCTCCTCTGGATGCCCCATGCTGACCTGCTGTGCTGTTGGTGTCTTTATATGTTTCTGACACTTCCATTAGACCAAGTTTCTCAACCGTGGCACTTTCGACAATTGGGATGGGGAACTCCTTGTTGAAGGACTGCCCTGAGCATAGGAGGATGTTTAGCAGCATCCCTGGCCACTACCCATCAGATGATAATAGCACACCCCCCAGCCCCCACAAGTTCTAACAGCCAGAAACGTCTCCAGACATTGTTAAATATTACCTGGGGATCAAAATCACCCCGGCGGAGAACCACTGCATCAGCCTATGAACTGCTAGGGCCTGGCCTGGCGCTGGGTCTTGTTCATGTGTGTATCATGGCACCCAGAGTGGGGCTGGCCCAGGCTAGGTGTTCAGTAAATGCTGCGAGAATCTGTGGTGGCCCCTTACTGGACAAAGGCCCAAGGGCAGGACTCAGAATTCAGGGTTTGGAGATATGCATGATGTTGTGGGGCTGTGGCTGTCTCTTCTTTCTCTTTTTTTCCTTTCCCCGAAGGTCACCCAAAACATCATCTCCTTTTGTTCTTACAATGTGGGGCAGGAGAAACTGAGACATCCCCAGACTTACTGTATATCCTTGGGGAAGCCACTTCACCCCTCTGGGCCTCTGCCTCCTCACGTATACAATGTGGGCAAAACAGCCTACATGGGTCAATAGGTATTGACTGAGCCGACAAACGCCTCTCAAAGACTGTCACACCAAGTGATGGCTGCTCCAGAGCCTGGGGATGTCCCAAGAGGAGACCATCAGGACAGAGAGTAAACCACATAACATTTATAGGGAGCACGGCTGGGGCTCAACCGCCCTGAAGAGGGCTGGGGGCTTAGGGACATCACTGCTTCAAGGACATCTTCCAGGAGCCCAGTGCCTGCATGATCCAGGAGCGCCGCTGGTGGGAAGTGGGCAGGTTCTCACAGCTGGGGCTCCAATGGTGCGTGGTGGCCGGGTCACACACCCCAGAGTCCCCGTGCAGCAGCCAGGAGTTCCGCCAGCAGCTGGCCAGGAGGTGGTCCTGAGCCTGGGCCGCATAGATGCACACTGATGCTTCTGGGTCATGTCTCAAGTTTTCCAGAGCTGCGTCATGGGGAAGGGAGATGCTTCCTGTTAAGACCTACGTGGGTCTCATACCTAATCCTTCTCATCTCCATGCCTTGGC